CTTTTAAACCTTCAATAGATTCAGTGGCATGATTGATTATTGAGAATATAACCTAGATGAGCTGTGCTTTATAAACACATTCTTTTCTATTGCTAGAATTCAATCGAAGCATTATTCCGCGAACGGCTCTGCTTCTTTCAAACTCCTCACCGGTCAAGTGACATAGGACACTTGTGTAGCAGTTCAGCTGGAATTATCGCACGAAATATTACCGCGACAGAGAAAGAAAATAGAGCCTCAAATTAAAGAAAAGCTCCACAAACCACTAATATTATAATTTTGCAATGTTTACAAACATAATTGCTTTCCTTTGCGATTTAAATGTCAAAAACATCACGGAAGAATGGTGCAAAGCCTCTTGTATTCTCATTGTTTTGACTTTTTCATATAAAAAAGCTTTGAATTACTTCTTTTTATAAAAAAAAAATACTTTGAAATTAAGTGACTAAATAGCTGGACATTTTACTACCACGCATTCGCAACAAATTGCTGAAACGGGAAAAGCGGGAGAAACTGGATACTGATCTGGCTTAAGCCAGATTTTATCGAGCAAAAACGTTTAACGGTTTTGATGATTGAAGAAATATTTGAACAAAAAAATTATAAATGATCTTGATCGCAAATAAGTCAATCAAATAAATAACTCACATTTTAACAAATTTTGCGAAGGATTGTGCAAATAATATCGTATAACTCCTGTTAAGTATGGAAGAAGACAATGCGCTTGCGAGCAACACCATCCACAAAATACATATGTCGAATACATATGCTACAATATGTTTCAGCGGTACGCAAACCGCGATCCGCCGCCACCGCACGACAGCAACGCATCACACCCAAAGCTCTGAGGACGTCGTCCACCACTTAAGTAAGTAAGTAAGGTACGCAAACCGAAAACCCGAACGCTGCATAAAGAAACTGAGCCTCCGCACAAAGAGCTTCTTCAGTAAATCCCATCTCTCGCTGCAACAAAACCTCATATTCCTTCACGGATTTGTGAAGGGATTGCCATCAAAAGCAATCTGCCATGAGGCTAGAATTGCTTCCAAGATGACATTAGCAGATTTCAACTCATTCTGCTATGAAGTTTTGCGAAACTCCGTATACGGGAATCTGATACCGATCAGAGGAGAAGGAAAGATTAAGGAAATCGATGAAAGCTGATTTGCGCGTCGCAAATACAACAGAGGACGTATGCAGAAGCATAAAAGTATACAGTGGCTGTTTGATGCTGTGCAGCGTCGAAATTCCACATCTGAACCTCTACGGATGTTCTTCCTTCCAGTACCGGTAAGATCTGCTTCAATTCTCATACCAATCATCCAGAGGATTATCCTCCAGCAGACAACAATCTACCAAGATTAATGGCGGACGTACAGTAACCTTCCTGGGCTAGGATATACCCATCGAACCGTCAACCATTCCAAAAACTTTGTTGACCCAGTGACAGGAACTCACACGAACACGGTTGAGTTCATGTGGATGCACGTAAAGACATTTCTACCTAAATACCACCGCAGAACGAAGGATAGGTATCTCGGCTATATAGCCAAATATGTATTCCATTACCAATGCCAAGTGTTGAAGCTGGACCCAAACAAGGTGTTACGGCAAAAATAGTAGGCAATGAAATGGAAATTTATGACCTAAATCACCGCGCCTAACCCAAATAAAAGGAGTTCTGCAAGCTTGTAGACATGGAAGATGTCGATTTCTTCAAATTGGAAAACGCAGACGTGGTGTTGCTCAATTTGGATGAAAAATCGATCCTAAATCCAATCAGATACAAATTATTACTCCAGATGAAGGTAAGAAATCAATATACCAAGATAATAAGACGCATAAATATTTATAGGAATTATGCTTGATGATGGTAAATGTCGTAACCTAGAAAAGGTTTCATATATGGCACATCAAACGTTAACAAAATCAATTCAAAGTGTCCGATTTCAAGATGGCGGAGATGATTTGCCTCAAAACGACGCTAAACAAGTCGAACAAAAGAAGATCCGCGATTAGCGAGGACATTAGAGAAATGTTCCATCGACAGAACATTAGACAAGAAGACATCAATCATCAGAGGATTCTCTATCGCGGAATGTCTCGAGATCAACTTCCGAATGAATATAAGGTTCAAGTAACTCCAGTTGGTCAGACCTCAATCGGTGGCAGTTTGGAAGTAGAAGTTTGGGAAGAACTCTGACTTTAAGTTGTTCAGACATTAATAGGCCAAAACTAATGTGGAATATTTTCTATACTACAATGAATTTCTCCCCCGAGGATATGATCAAGATAAACAAGTTTTAAACAGATCGTAATCTCCGTAAGAGTGTTCATAGCAATTCCAAGATACACTGTGATATCTGTAAGCAACAAGATAAGAAAGAACCAGATTTATGTCAAAGGACGGTGTATTACACCATTCACATAAATATGTTCAAGAAATATTAGATTTAGAACTTAATTTAAGTCTGCTTTATTAAAGCTTTGCATCACCAACGGTCGAAATCTTCATATAAGTTACTCGTAACCTTTGAGGTTTCACCAAAACCTTACTACCAGCATTTTCTTTATTATTCTTGTAGCCTTCGGCTAACTCTTGATTCAATGTCAGTTTTTGTTCAGAAGTACGCAGAGTTTTATGAAGAGCGCAGCTTAACATTTAAAGTACATTCGCTACTTCACTTGCATGACTATGAGAAGCAATATGGCTCACTTGATGAATTTTCAGCGTACAAATTTGAGAATTTCCTTTACAAGATAAAGAGGACAGTAAAGGGACACAATAATGTTCTTAGGCAATTAATAAATCGTAGAAAAATTGAATACAATATTTTTTTTGCGTCCGAATAATATCACTCCAAAAGATCCATTCTCAAATAAGATATATCTTCACGCTCCTCTCTTCATGGCTGCAATTTTGCGTACAAGTCCTGTAAACTTTCTAGTTACCAGTTTGAGACGAATGACAAAGATAAATAATGCGAAATTTTGCATCAAAGCGCAGTTAAGATAGAAATGTTTACCGAAGCAAATGGCGTGCCAAGATTAATTGAGAAACAATTGCAGAGCAAGAAAGAAGGCGAAGCACCTCCGAAACGTTGGTATTGAATAAAAGCGAGTGAAGTTAAAGAACAAGGCCGTTCCGCGTTTTACATCTTAAATCTATTATTCGGCTGATAAACATAATAATCATCATTTGCAAGTTAAGTTTCAGCCAGACTGCGGAACTTGTTAAACTACATAGAATACTATGCGTTAAGATAAAAGACAGGATATTAATATCTCAAATTGCCTGAGCATCGCTGAGATAGCCGAGAAGCGCAATTGTGACGCACTCGAAAAAGCAGCACGGGAATTCATAAGTTGACACTCTCTACAAGTGTACGTCCAGGAGTTCGTCCAGCTTTCAGCTGAACAGTTTGGAAAATTACAACACTTTGGGCACACTCTGGATGCGTGGCGAGATCGTGAGGTGGTCAAGAAGAAAGAGCATCGCAATCAGCTGAAGCCTTTCAGAATATGCAAAAGAATATGTATTACCAAGCCCGGCCGCGGACCAAATGTATAATAGAAATATCAAGAGTCAATAAAGGCCCTTTAGTTTCCCACCCGACGCACTGTATATCACTTGACCAGCATTAGTTAGCGCCGATAAGATATTATTTCCACCGCTTCATATCAAACTAAGGCTCAAGAACCAGTTCATAAAGGCGCTTCCAAAAGATTCTCCTGCAATGAAGCAACTGAAACGGCTTTTCCCACGGAAATCAAAGGAGAAAGTCGAGACGGGCGTGGTGTTCATGAGCCCAGAAGTACGAAAAGCACTGGCGTCACAGCGGAAGTTTAAAGAAAGCATGTCATCCACCCAAAAAACAGAGTCGGGACGAGTTTCCAGGAACTGGTCTCGATATTGGTCACCAGTTATCAAAAATTGGGGTGTCGCATGTCCCTTAAACTGCACAAATTGCTTGCGCATCTGAAAAAATTCTAACACCAAACCTCAGAGATTGTTCCGCGATGAACATGATGAGAGATTTCACCATGTTTCACCAAATAAAATATTGTTATCACTTAAAATAATAATAAGAAACTTGCTGTCCAAAAACTTGACCGTGGCCGTAAACTGCTAAAACGGGATAAAAGTTCAATTCATCTTGAAGCGTGCGCGCAGCTTATGCTCTGCAGCATGAAAACTGAAACTTTGTCAAGAGAAAATCCTGTTTTCCAAGCAGATAGAGAAGAAATAAAGAAAAAAGCGCCGAAAAAGTGTAAATTTGCGGCTTTTATGAATTCCATTAACAAACTGTCGTCGAAATCTAGAGTCCATTAAGAAATGGAAATAAAAAATTTCGACAAAAGAAAACAAAATGGCGGATGCGAAAAAATCATGGAAATGAAAAATTTTAGAAAAAAAACCCTCAGAAAAATGCCCAACTTACCTTTAATGCTGCTCATTTTGGAAGCTAAAACATGGGAAATTACAGAAATGCTATAATTTACGGAAAATTCTATCTTTTGGGGCGCAAAAAGAGGTAAAAAAAAGCTCAAAGGAAATGTTCAAAGTTTTGTAAAAATGCTATGTGAACAAATTCTGGAATTTAATGGTTTTTTTTGGGGCATATTTGATTCTTATTCAATCAATTTGTCTATAAATTTCCACTCACCTCGTCTTCTTGTCGCTCGGGGGCCGCGATGAGCGTCAGTGGAGCGTTTTTCCGGAAGCTCATGGCGACTCATGAGCCTTATTTCCTCGATTTTCGCACTATTTCCGCATGCGCTGCACTTTTGCGCACGCGCATTGCGTTTCACTGCATTTTATTTAACTTTTAAGCTCACTTGGGGGCCCTTTTGGGGGCTTTTCCGGCATCTTTCACGGGAAAAATGCGCTTCCGTCCGTCCCCTTCTAGAAGGAATGGTGAAAAAGAACAAATTCTTTTTTTCCACAGCCTTCTGTGAATTCACCACCGCCACCAGCGCCAGTGAGTACAAATTCAACTATAGCTGAAGAGTGGCGCATAACCTCAAAAAAGTGTTGTGTTTTGGTTTGTTTTCCTCATTTTTGAGAATTATTGGCCAAAAAGGAGTGATTTAATTATCTGTGGCATTTAATTGTAAGATCTCCATAACTGAGAAATGTTCCTTCATGACGAAAAGTCTCAAAAACACCCTCATTTTTCTTGAAAATCAATTTTAGTGCAGGATCCTTTAAAGATCAGCGTTGGAGGACATTGAAGAGCAGCTCCTGGAGGCGCGCGGGAAGGACTGGACTCCCGGAAAGGCCATCCAGAGGGAAAAAGCACAGGTGGAGAATCATTTAAATGCATCGCGTGAGGATAAATTCTACAGGAAACTCGTGAATTTCCTTCAATTCCGGCTTCTGTGTTGCTGGAATCCGAGTTCTTCGTGGCTTCAAATCCGCCTCCAGAGGCCGGAGAGTCATCCAGTCAACACCAGAATGAGGAACACAGGAAGAGTGGACCCAAGAACAAGGTCAGAAAGGTCACAAGTCTGAGAATAAGGTAAAATTTAAAGAATCTCTTGAGTGTGTTGCTAACTTTAGTGATTTCTTCAGTCAGGAAAAGCAGCAAAAGGCGCAGAAAGAAGTGAGAATCGTCAGGGAAGAAGGCGCAAGAGTGAATTGCAGGAAAATGCGGATGTCGAGGAGGACAATTTGCTGTTAGAAGAATCTGCAGTGCGATGAGAAAACGCCAATGTGACGAAAACTCCGCAGAATCGACAGAGAAAGTCACAGAAATGCCGTGAGTAGAAATATTCTTTCATGAATTTCCCCAAATTTGCCTGATTTGCAAAGTTAATTCGCCCTAAAGCTGGAATATTTTAAGAAAAGACGTGTTTATTTACAATTGTACTAACTTTTAATAGAAAATGCGTGATAAATTCCTTAATTTCCTTCTCAATTATCACTCTCTCTCGCGCTTTAAGCATGATAAGAGACGAATTTGGGCACTTTTTTAGCAATTTTCTCTTCGTCTGTCTCGCAATCGCTCATCTGCATGCGAAAACTGCATTAAAACCGTCAATTTCACGGCTCTTTCTGCGCTTTTCTCAATGAAAACCACTTGAATCTATTATCAATATTGCGCTTATTGAAATTTCTCTGACAATTTTCTCTTCAAAATGTTATTAAATCCGCTATTTGAGTTTATTGTCCAAAAATATCCAATAAATGGACAAAGAAGCAACGAAAGATGCCAAAATCACTCGCGATTTCAGACACAAATTTTGTGATTATTCAATAATTTGATTTTTCCTGATCTGTATTTAAATTTGGCATATTTCGTAGCAGTTTTTAAGATATGAAGTACTTCTGATGGCATTTCGCAAAGAAATCAGTTAATTTTGGAGGTTTAAAAGCCTCTAAATAATATGAAATACAATCGAAACTTGTACATGTATTTAGAACTTGATCATTTGATGATGAAACCGGGTTTTTTCTACGCGAAAGCTTCATTTTGTGCTCAAAATTCCTCTTCTTCTGACCAGAATCACGCCAGGAAGTCAAAAAGTGTGAGAATGTGATATTTTTAGCGTCCCTCATGCCAAATTTGCTGCCCTCTGGCGGTCATATGTGGAGAAAATATGAAAAAAACATTCAAATTTCAATAAAACATTCAGAAAATATTGAAATCTACTTTGATTTTATTAAATATTTTGGCAAAAATAGTCAAATTTTGATTATTTTTCAATAAATTAAATAAGATTCTCCCTTTAGCTCTTTTAAAGTGATTTCTGTCGCAGTAAATTGCATTTGACATTCTCAATTCAGCTTATTTCTCAGTAACAATTAATCACAAAGTAAATTGAGCAGAAAATGAGGTGGAAAAACAGTGCAAATGATTGATAAAGTTGTATTAAAGTGAGCATTATCTGTTTAAAGGAGCAATTTAGGATGGACAGGAAAGTTTTCTGTTTTCAATTGAACACTAAATTGACAATTGATAGTTTAAACTCGTTTGAAAACAGCGAAATGCGCGGAGAAACATAAGATGAAATGCAATTTAAAAGACAATTACTGAGGAATTATATCTCTGGGCATCAGAGGCTGTGGGAAAAGAGTGTGAAAATGGGAAATTTTCCACTGAAGAGTGCGCGGAAGGAGATTGTTGGTAGAAAATTGAAGAGGAAAAACATCCAATTCTTCAGGAAATTTACAACACAGTGAGTGGCTGTGAATTACTCTAACTGCGGAGCGCTTTTAATTTGTGTGCAATACAGCCAGCATGCAGAAATGCAATCTCTCAAAGGGAAAATATATAACGCTTACTTTGAGCGCATTTTGCATGGATTTCCTCCGATGCACGCTGTTTAGCGGAGCGCAATTCAACCTTCGTCAGTGTTTTTCTCAGCATCCCTCATCCATTTCTTCGCTCAACGCCAGCCACCAAGTGAAACTCATCCTGTTTTGTCAGAAAGGGATTTTCACTAGATAAAGGATTACGCTGTGGCGCTCAAGTTTTTCGTGGAATTGAAATTTAATTCGCAGTATTAACAGAGGCAAAAGTGAAAACGCGTGATCTATCAAAGATCTGCAATCAAGGGGGAGATAATATGGTCAGAAGAGGTGTACAAATCACAAAACATTGGTTTTCTGTTGATTATTTTACTCTCATAAATTTATTTTCTTAATTTTGACATATATTTTTCCATGTTATATGACTTATTTACGACTAAATGACAACTTAGAGTAGAAATTCTTGCGCTTAAACTGATTTTCTCAATAAAAATCATGGTTAACAAACATAACCTTGATTTTCTCGAAAGTTTTCAGTTGATTTTCAAGGCAAAAACAACTAAAATATGGCATAATAACACTGATTGTGACCTCCTTAATAAGATTTGTAAACCAATTCTTATCCAGTTCATCATTTTGACATATATTTTCGAGGTTATGTTATTTATTTACGGTTAAATGACATCAAAAGCAGAAATTCTTGCATCTAAACTGATTTTTTCAATGAAAATCATAATTTTTTAACCATTTTTTAAGCTGGGATGTGTTAATAAACATAACCTCAGTTTTCCACTAAATAGTAGCGATTTTCAATAAAGTTTTTAGTTGATTTTCAGGGTAAAAACAATGAAACACTGATTTTGACCTCTTTTATCTGTTTCTGAGAAATATTAACGAATTTACCATAAGATTTGTGAATCAAATCGTATTCAGTTCATCATTTTGACATATATTTTCGAGGTTATGTGAATTTTTAGAGGCGAAAAGGGGTTTATAAGAGATATTTTTGCGCTGTAAGTAGAATTAAGCATTTTTACTCATTGCAAAGTGTGATTCTGAAAGCTCAAAGGGGAAAGAACAGTGATAATATTAAACATAACCTCAATTTATCTCTGCAGAACACAAAATTCTAAGTCAGAAAGATTCCAATTAATGACTGAAAGCGAAAAGTGCGATTAAAATCAGAAATTCAACGAAAGAAAACCATCTGAAGAGTCTGAAAATCAGAGTTCTTAAACTGTTAGTTAGATTTCGGTTAGATTTCAGTCATTTTGTGGTCATTTTAGTCTTATAAGCAATGCAAGAAGTCTGAATGTACAGATTTTAGCTGTGTTATCTCGTCCTTGTCTGCAATCAGAGTGATTGCCAGCAACACGGAGATTGTTGGCATTACGCGTGAAACAAGGCTCGGCAGGAGCAGAGATAGGAAGTGCGGAGAAGAAATGGTTGGCAGTGCAATTAAGTCACCCCAAATTCCGTTTTCTCGTCATGCAGCGCCGCCATATGTAGAATGCAAACAACATGCGAATTTATGGAGCAGATTTCCGAATGCTGTGCCGCCAATGAGGCACGAAAGCACCGCAAGAAATCTCCACTCGCCATTGAATATGTCCGCCCGGTTGTTTTGCGGGAAAACAGCGTTAACAAAGAAATCCTCAATACTCGACGGGTGAATCGAAAACTATGAAAAGTCGATTTATCACAGTTTTTGTCTTATGTATTCTTGAAAAGCTCTTTATTTGTTCTTTCTGTACAAAAATTTTGAGATTTTTATCTTATGAGACAATAGTAAAAAAAAATACTTTATTTATCTAAAAAACACAAATGAAAAAAATTGTCATGTTTTCTGAAAGAAAAGACGAATTTTCATTTTTTATGCCGTACAAAAAATGTCTCAAAAATTGCGGTCAAACACACAAAATGCCTTTTCAGAAAATAATTATAGATTTTCAGAATTATCCTAAAATGTTTTTTTTAGACTTTGAATAAATATTTCTCATATCTTTTAAATTTTTTTCACTTGAAAACTTGAAAGAAAAGTTCAGGTCAAGTATTAAAAATTGATTTTTTAGAACTTGTTTGGATAAAATCAACTTTAGAAAGTAATATTTTCAGATTTTCTATAAATTTTGCCATATTTTAGTCTAAAATTTCAATAAATACCGATAAAATCAACTAAAATATTTACAAAATAATAAATTCAGAGCAATATTTGCACTTTAACGGACGATTTGAAGGCTTTTTGAGATAAATTTGGCAAATTTCGCAACAATATTGAAGCTATATTTTCTTTTGGCTCTTCTGAAAAATAGGGATTTTGGCTTTTCATAGTTTTCGACGCACCCGTCGATACGGGCAAACTGACATATTTCTACGTGGATAAGACAATGAAGCGCTGCTGCATCAAAGAAAGTTTCTGTGCGGCTGAAACGCAAGGCGTGACGGAAGCTTAATGAACTTAATTCTCTCCGCGTGGAAGCAACACAATAATAATAAAATTGTCTTTATCGCGCGCACTGCATGGCTGAAAGCTCGTGAGATGGGCGGTGGACAAATGAGGTTTTTGGGGAGGACAAAGGCGAGGAAGAGAAGCTTTTTTTACACCAGCCAGACTGCCTCTATCGCCGACCTTGTTGTGTGTCATGCAAAAGTGGAGCCACATTTTGAGCTGCGAGACGTGAAGAGCGCGCGGAGCGAGGAAAGTTTTGCGCATTCTGGTGCATATTCATTGGTCATTCTGCGGAGACCGTCAATGCGTGTGAATCACCCCGAAATTGCAGGCAAAAGTTGCTGAGAATTAAATTGTTCGGGGGGGGGGGGGAAATTAAAAGCGGACTAAACACCCAAAACATGACCCAAAACTTTATTCAATTAAATGCAGAGATGAAACTATTGTTTGCCCTAAATTAGTGTGATTCAGAAAGGACTCTTTTTGGTATCTCGCAAGCCACATCATCATTCAATCTCTTCCCCACTGCGAGAAGAGCCAACTTTTCCCAAAAAGGGGATGGAAAAAAAAGAGATCGCGGGGTTGAAAATACAGCGCACGTGGCGATGCAGCAATTTTGCATTTTATTTATGACTCGCAATACAAACACACACCAAATATTTACATTTAATTGAAATAATTTTATTCACTGACCCAAACACTGTGCCGAATATTTGCATATTTTCACCATACCTGAGCCCACTTTTCACTCCCTTCCGGAGTCACAAAGCTCGGCAGGAACTTTTGGCTATTATCGCGCACACGTTTTGCACTCTGTGCGCTTGATTTTTGCCCTGAAAGTTGGAGAAAAAAGTGTTTTAGTTAATGCAACACCGGATTTTGAATGGAATCTTTTTAAAGATTGACTTTTGAGAGTTGACAACTTGATGTTTTTCACCACGTCTGAAGATATTATATATTAAGTAAATCGACAAAGAATGAAAGAAATCAGTTTTATCTTAAATAAAAAGTCCATGTGTAGAAAATTAACACTAAGAAAACCCGAATTAGAGTAAAAA